TATTAAAGCCCGTTTACAGCATCAAATGCAGCTGCCATGGAGGCCGCGTTCTCCCCGCCAAGCCGATCTTTCATAGTCTCTGCAATCAAATCATCAATCGACTTGAAATTCCTCTCCTTGGGACAATCCCTACATTCCATTGCCATCAAAATCGGATTTTTCACCGAAACTCTTCTGTGCAACCATCTCATTAACTTGTATGCGAAATGCGATTGCTTGAACAGCGCACACAAGCTGTTTGAAGAAATGCCCGAGCCAAACTTGATCTCCTATTCCACTCTTCTCTCAAGCAATTCTCGATCCGGAAACCCTAGAACCTCCCTACTTCTACTGTCACAGTTGCATTCCCATGATTTTCTTCCGAACCAATTTGTTTTCTCGAGCTCCATTGCGGCTTGTGCAAAGCTTAATTCGCTCGGTTTTGGGCAACAGATACACGCGCAGGCTGTTTCTTCTGGTTTTGGATTGGATCCATTTGTCAGCACTGCACTGGTTGACATGTACGCTAAGTTTGGTGAATTAGATTTGGCGATTTCAATCTTCAGACAATCTCAAACCGGAGATCCTGTGCTGTTTAACTCCATGGTGTCTGGGCTTGTCAGCTCCGGCGCTTATGAAGAAGCTCTGCTTCTTTTCGGAGAAGAAAGGAAGTTTGGTTATTTTAAACCAAGTGAGTTCAGTTTTGGAATCCTCATAAAGGCCTGCTCTGATCTCACTAAAGAAGTAGGAATGCAATTTCATGGTTTGATGTTCAAATATGGTCTAAATTCTAACTGTTTTGCTGGAACTTCTCTTATTGACATGTATGGCAGGCTTGGATTCATACAGAGCTTGGAAGACGCTTTTGAGGAAATCCACTCTTGTGACATCGCTCTGTACAATGCAATGATTGGCGGTTTCTCGAGAAATGGGCTCGATTCGATCGCTTTGGATTGTTTCATTGAACTGTTATTCGAAGGGTTCGCGCCCAATGAGTGCACCTTAGCTTCTGCACTCAAATCTTGTGCTGTTTTGAAGTCTGATAACTGTGGAAGAATGATTCATGGAGTTGCAGAGAAGTCGAAATTCTGCGAAAATCTCGTAGTAAAAACCGCTCTGATAGATATGTATATGAAGTGTGGGAAGGCAGAGGAAAGTTGCAGAATCTTTGATTCCATGTTTGAAAGAAACACAGTTTGTTATAATTCCATGATTTTCGGGTTAGCCCAAAATGGATATTTTGATGAAGCAGTGAGACTTTCGATCGAGATGAAGTCACTCTATATAGAACTTGACTCATCAACATTCGTCGCCTTGATGAACTCTTGTTTGGAGCACGAGTTCACCATCTATGGTGATGCTGTTAAACACGGATTTGGTTCGAACCTTATGATCATAAACACCCTTCTTAGTTGCCTTATCAAGAGAGGATCTGTCGAAGAAGCTCTCGAATTGTTCGAAAAGATGAGTGAGAGAGATGTTGTTTCTTGGACGGCTATTATTTCAGGACTCACCCAATTGGATCTTCATAATAATTGTATTGAATTTTTTAAATCAATGTGTTCTTCTGAGATCTCTCCTAATAGCTTCACCTTTTCCAGTGCTTTGAAGGCTTGTGGGAGCTTAGCTAATATAAAGCAAGGCAGATGTATTCATGCTTGTGGAATCAAGCATGGTGTCATGGATGAGTTCACCAACAGCTCTCTTCTAGACATGTACCCAAAATGTGGGGCTTTGGAAGATGGTAGAGCACTTTTCGACGAGATTGGGAGTAAAGATATAGTCTCATGGAACACGATGATCACCGCATATGCGCAACATGGTCGAGGACAAGAGGCTCTAGGGATGTACATGATGATGCAAGATCGAAATTTGGAGCCAAATCATGTTACTTTCGTGTCGCTTCTGTCAGCATGCAGTCACTGCGGAATGGTGGAAGTTGGAATTCAGCTTTTCGAGCTTATGGTTTCGAAGCATGGAATCGTTCCTCTTATGGAGCACCATGCCTGCATGGTTTACTTGTTTGGTCGGGCGGGGTTTTTGGATCGAGCAAAGTTGTTCATTGATGCTATGCCATCGGAGCCGGATGCGTCGATATGGACAGTGTTTTTGGCGGCTTGTAAGCTCCATGGCGACTTTGAGTTAGCGCAATTGGCGAGGAAGAAGCTTAGTGGAATGGTTTGGGAAGATAAGCCAACAGTTGTTCTTATGTCTAATATGCTGTCTGAAGTAGGGAAATGGGATGATGCTGAGGAGGAGAGGAAGAGAATCAGCATGGAGGGGGTGAGAAAGGAGCCTGGATTGAGCTGGGTGCAGATTGCAGAAACTTTTGCTTGAATGTTTCAAAGAGAGCGTTTTTTATATTGCTTGCTTCTGCAAAATTGCACCTGATGATTTGAGGGGAATGAAAGAAGGGGAATTTACATACATGTCACCTAATTTCTGTGTATTTACATGTGTGATAACTAAACTTTACTTTTTTTTTT